TCCAGTTTTTGTAATATTGCATGAGCTGTTGTTCAACGGACAAATTGTACATTATTTATGACTATAATATCGATTCATACTTTAGACATTGTCTAAAGAAAGCAAAATGTAATTAAAAAATTTACAGATATAATAGTAGTATTGTTTTATGCTACAGTTAGTAAAATAAAGAGTTTTTGTTAACATTATCACATTTACTTTAAAATGATGTAACATACTATTATTTTATTTTATTGCCACATAAAAAATTATGGTAATACTTCTTTGCTATACATAATATTAAAAATAATAGAACAAAGGATTATTTACTAGTAGTGTTATAATATTATAGAAAAATAAGATAACATGTTTTTTGGTGTTTGATTTCAAATCAGAACGTACCGAAAATGGAAATTAACATTGTTTATCATAGGCAACAAGAATATTAAATAAAAGTCTAGAAAAAAATACAGGGCGTAGGACTGACGACAGTGGTTTGGTTAATGAACGATAGCCCAACCAACAAAAAAAAACATTTGTCATATTTTATTGAATTTATATATTATTTAAGTTTTAAGTACTACGTACAATATTTGTATATTGCTAAAAGGCAAGACTTGCTAAACAAAAGTTAAATAAAAGTTCAAGGAATTTTGATGGTTTGACAAAATACAAATCTTATGATGGACATTTAAAAATGGAGGGTACTATAATTCACTACCTACTATACTGCCCTATTAAAGAGGCATGCAGTATTTACAAAAACCAAATTAGAAAAAAAAATTGTTGTTTGTATCAATTTTTTGTTCATGTTTATAATTTGTATTGATAAAACCAGATATGGGAAATTGTTTTATAAATAACAAAAAAAAATGTATTTATGCTAATAATGAATTAGTTTGAATTATTTTTGTTAAATGTATCAAATAATAAATTATTTTTATTTTTTAAACAATTTTTTATTTAATATTACTTTTGATACTTACACAAAAATATAAGTATACATTTTTCGATTCACGGAAAATATTGAGTTTCAGCCTATTGCATTCGATCTGTTTCTCTCTTATTATCACTCACTTTATTAATAAAAAACAAAATGACAGCGTAACGGGATTTAATATAGATTTATATCTAAATAATGTATTATATGTAAGTATAATGTATAGATATGATAAATTATAAAATCTCCTTACGCTGCGCCGCCATCTACTTGTGCATTGTCCGTGTTATTAATTCTGTCTTATGACTGCAATAGCCTGTACAGCAGAACCTTGCATCTAAAAAAAAATGTTTAACAGCTCGGTAGAAGTACAGTTAAGTGCCCAAAAACAATTTAATTGTTTTATCTTAAATACATGTATGATATTTTTTTTTTAAACTAGTTATAAAAATTTGATTAAAAATTGTTACTATTATAAAGAAAAAAATATAATTACGGTACACTCTGTTTTAGCTAAGGGTTGTAGTTAACACACACCCTCAATTATGTTATTAGTATTAGGGTCGATCGTCTGACGTTCCCCGTGATTCGTTGCCGTTGTTACCAATAGACATAATAAAAACATTTTTCTCAATCCAATTGACTATTGATTTATTCACACATAGCAACCAGGATATTAAAATATACATCACAATGTAATTTCCCCCCTCGTTTTGAGTTTTTCTTCAATACCGAAGAAAGTTTAACTACAGATTTTTTAAGAAAACCGTATGTGTAATGCGAAAACAGGCTGACTTATTGACGGTTTATTTTTCCAAAATTTAGTTAACGTATGCTATTTTCTGAGTCTCTATTGAATTTCTAACAATCTGAGACCATGTACTTCTTTCCGGCTTTGCGTATAACGCTTTATGTAGGTATTTTTTGGTTATCAATTTTTATTACTTTTTGGTTTCTTTACGTGTGTTTAATACTTGACGTTGTTTTAACAACGTTTGAAAATCGACGAGTCTTCCTTATTATTACAAGTTTACTATCGTTCCAAATCAAAAATACGAATTTCCCATTTGAATAAACCATACATAAATATTATTGTGTACGTGCATTGAATACACGGTGGCGACGGCGACTTGGTTAACGGGACTGTGAGTTCCCGCGCAAAATCACTTGGCAATTTATTGGCATCTCATCGGTGCAACACACAAGTAGCCTTACAACCACTATTGTAATGTTTGTATAATATTATGTATATTCCGATAGAACGCGCGTTAGCCTTGAACGATTAACGTTGAATGATGATAATTACATACATTGGGCGAACGCTTGTGTTTACATATCTAATTTACCGGTCGTTTTTTACAAAAGCCAAAACGTCGGTGTTGGACGATTAGCAAATTTGCAACTAACATGTTAACGATAAGTGATGAGTGATAACGTCAATAGGTCGAGTCGTTTGGTTGTTTAAGAGCAAGACCAAAACAGGTTGAATTTGTTATTATTTATTTTCATATAAGGCAATTCGTTTCTACTAAAATTACCAAAATACTCTTGTCGTCGATAATGAAGGACTTTGAGACTCTTATAAAAATAACTGATAATCTTACATACTCATGCTCAATTTGCTGCCTGATACAGTGACGTTATAAGAAATTTCGTAAGGGAAGGGTGGAAAAAAAAATATTGATGTAAAATATTAAAAAATTATTATGTATAGATAGTTTGTATTCAATTAACTACAACGTACACTGTTAGTGTAAATAAAAACAACATTGTAGTTATTACTTAAATAGTCGTTAACAAAATTGAAAATCTAAAGTATTGTAGAAAGCTAATAATATAATCCAAAGCAAAACGTATTGCAGGGTTTAGTTTTTTCCATTTTTTTTTTTTAGCTCTATTGAGAGTTTAGTAAGGCGCAGGCACCGTGTTAAAAAAATAATCAATTATAATTAGTTGACGAATCCAATAGCTTGGATTATTATGGAAACATTTTAATCGTTTTCATAATACGGCGTATGGCTTTTAATAAAACTCACATTTAATAATAACCAAAGCTATTATCGGGATTCAATTAGCAACTCACAAACGTCAGAGATATATTTTGGCATAGTACATTTCCGCACCAGCTGAGCGTCGTATTAGGATAATTGTAATACATTTTGCAATATATATATTCCTTCTCGATGAAACCGATAACGATTACTACTATGTCGGCGGTGTATCCAACCTCAAGGCTAAGTTTTACACGGTTTTACGTTTTGTGTACCAAAATTATTATTACATATGCCTATCGATCAAACGCACTAAAAATGTAACTATCGACAACGACGGCGCGATGTAACTTCCACCTGAATTGTTTTTTTTTGTTTGTCTTGCTTAAGTTTCTGTGCTTACACGTACGATAGATACATGTTTTCTTTTATCGATTTTTACAAAACTTTCCCCGTTATTTACGATTTCATATAATAATATAAGAAAACGTTGTAGTTTTTTACAGCCCAAGTTATATTTGCCAGCTGTGCGGTAAAATGTTGTTCCAAAATGTATTTAGTACTATCAGCATGACATCGACTACAAAAGAAAACGGATTATAATATAACTGTTAGCGTTTTTAATTTTGAATAGGGTATCTAATTATAATAACAGCGAGATCAGAGCGTAGCATTTAATATTTGAATATTGTACTTCATTAAAAAATATATAAGAACGTGTGAATAATATTGTGTCATCGCTACAGCATATTTAAATAAATGCAATATTTTATGTTAATTGAAATTCTAATGACTCAACTAGGCTATAGGTATAGCCGTGTTATTGTAATTTCATTAAAAAAATAATATTATTAAAAAATTGAACTTGTTATGGCAGGTTCGCCAGTGTTCACAAAATGTTATATGATAAAAATAATGCATGTGAGGTAACAAAAAAAAAGTTCTACGTATTTAAATAAAATAATTCATAACAACACAAAGGTTCTACGCAAAGTACTTACTTCAATTTTATTAAGTCCGTAGATGCCGTGGGTATGAGTGATCATACATTTGAAACTTAGTTTTATGCAGAATAATATTGTCTGGGCAAATGACATTTTCACGTCGAAAATTAAAAAAGTTATTGCAAGTTTGTAAAAAAAAAAATTCTTATGCAAAATAAAAACTTTAAAGCTCATTTTCCAAAGTATGACCCGCGTACCGTTTTACATCTCAATAGGACTTGATGTTTTTATATTTCAGTTTTACAAAAAAAACTATCTGACAGTACTTTGGATAATCGATAAATTTAAATATTTAATATAACATTGAGGGGAGGCTAGAAAAAAATTCACTTCAAATACATATAAGCAATAGTCATAGAGTTTAAGTTCACATAGTAAAAAAAAAACAATATATATCAGAGTATAAAATATAAACATAAAACATACTCTTTTAATACAATTTAAGTAGGTACACGAGGGAGGGCTTTAGCCATAACCTCCCCTGTTCGAGGCTTATTACTTTTTGCCATTCTTGGCACACTTGGCTTTGGACGCTGCGGATACCTACGATTCGATTGAAATAATATATAATATATTTTTTGGTTTCGAACGCCAATGCATTTTTGTTCGTTTTTTTTTTTGTTTCTCGTTAGTGTTATTTATAATGATTTCAGATATCGTGGCCGCGTTTGCGTGTTACCCACCGATCAAGGCCGGCCAATATCCTGCACAGGGCCAATAAATACGGGGCGTACTTTTTATGTATTTCTGTCCGTACCTGTAAGTACGACGCAGGCCATCGGGCACGCACGCGTTACTATTATTTTAACGGTCCATCAGCTGTGCGGCACGGCAAAGCCTCATCATAATCATGGTCGTCGCGTCGCCGGGGAACGCGGTTTTTACACAACCGAAAACAATGGAAACGGCCGCGACGATGCGGCGTGCCGGGGGGGGGGGGCGTCGGCGGTGCTGCGGCGGGGTCGGCGGGGGCCTGTTGGGCACTCGGGCCCGCCCGCCCGCGCCCGGCTTCCTGTTCCGGTATGGTCGGCGCGGTTCGGGCACGGTCGCCGCCGGAGCACACGAGCGCCGCCGTCCGTGCCGCCGCCACTTGGCGCTCGACGACGGCGACTATTCTACTACGGCTGAGCTGGCGGCTACGTTCAGACGCAATTCCGACACGGCGGCAGTCGTACGTTCGTTCACGCACTCACCGTGACATTTTTACCTTTACACTGTACACCACCCCAACCACTACCACCATCCCTTATATATACACACACCATCAAGACACATTACACCCGTATTATTTTAAATAAACCGACGCCGTTCCTCCGGGTTATTGTTTTTTTTTTTTTTATATACCCATCGTCCTTCCCCTTTCCGGTGCGTGTGTGTCCTGACCATTAAACCGCCCCTACCCGAATTGTCCCGGCCCCGGTGGTGCCCCCATGTTGGCGCTGGAATTAGTGGCCGTCATCGTCGCGCAGCATTACACCCACCCGGTTGAATCGTGGAGGCCGTCGCCGTTGGCGGGTTGAAGAGGGCCCGTTGTGGTGCGTACAACGGACCGGAGGCAGCCGGCACCCTCAAGAAACTCAGACTGGACGCCGCCGCAGCCGCAGCCGCTACGATGAACATGGCGCCCACGAGCACCCCTCCGGCACAGCAGCAGTCCGTACCGGGTGTCGTCGACGGAACCCAAGTTTCGGCATTGTGCAACAGCATCGACCCCGTCGTGCCCGGCGAAGAAGAGGTAAATATCAGCTTTTGTTGTTTCTTCTGTACTTTCGGTAGTTCCCATGTAGTCGTTACGGACCGTGAGAAAATTTCGAATTTTCGAGAAACGTCCATACAGGTAAATACACCGCCGTGATAATGTTAAATAGATAATCCTCGGGACGGTCGCACCGTCATGTGTCCCGCCGCCACCACGCGCGCCGCTCCAATTGATATGTACACGTTTTACAATATGTTGTACGCGTCGCAAAGCTTGCGTGTGAATGCGCGTACCGTGTTTGACATGTACACAAAAAATACAAATATGTGCTAAGGCTTGGCTCATGTGATAATTGCTCCGGCCGTACGAGGACACGTCTGTCATCTCACATGACGCGCACTATACATGCACACCCTGGCTTGGTTCCGTCTCCTTTTGTCTTATCACACCGAAACCACCGTGCACAGATCACTTGAATTCCTCTAAAACCCACGCCAAACACGATATTATTTCTGGACACACCGATGGTCCACCGGGAATTAACTCGCCATGTGTCGCAATGTTTAAAACATACCGCACGTGATAATGGTGCTCTACTATTATTGTACTCGGCCGGACGTTTTAATCGTTCCTAAAGTCTGTTAATGCGATTTGCCTCGAGTCGTTTTTTTTCTTTCTAAATTATATTATCTAGGTCTTCCTGGATAAATCAACCGAGAGGGATGTGCGACACACCGGTTATAATATTGTATTTTCTTCGGCTATATAATATTATATGTATGTAGTGCATGTAGCAAGCCGAGTTTTCGTATACTTTCAGAACTCGACGTAGTGACGTTTTTCGCTCGAACGCCAACACAATAGGCGATATTATACTAATTGTCTAACGAGCAGCTGTTGTCTTCGGAACACGCCGCGTTTATGATGTTATTTCGATGTTGTATTATTATTCGGAAACGCCGTCAACCGATGGCTTAGCTAGCACATCTCGACGATTACTTTCGGATGGTATCTACATATCTATACGGTATACGGTATCTATATTATGTGCCTGGTTTTCTTAGATAATAACTAATACTAGGCGTGGGTGTCGCGCACCAGTCATCGCGATTCGTCGTGTACTCGCGGTATCTCTTAACTCGTACACGGGCGGCTATATCCCACCGTTCGTTCGGCGCTAATTACCGGTCGTTCACGGTCCGCCAGGTAAGCTATTCAAATAAGCCGACACGCAGATACGCCCAGTGGTTGCCAAAGCGGGCCCCGAGGACGCGTCGTACGTATGTAATTATTTCGGTTTGTTTGTTTGTGGAAAAAAGCGATAACGGAGCTCGTAAAACGTCGGCCCGGTTTCTTAGCAGCCGGCAACACGGGGCTAAAGGTGCGGAGGAAAAAGTATTTTTATTTTTAAACCAACGGAGACCTCGGTTAGAGAATCGGCGGACGAGGCCCGGCAACATGTGTTCACCTGAGGGGCAGCTGCTACCACCTATACACAATACACACGGTGTCGACGACGAACAGCTGATCACCCTCGGGGTAACGCGACCGGCGGAATTTCACCGTAGTGTGACGCTCTGCTAACGAGAAACTCCCTCCAAAAAAACACACACACACTCGACTATTATTAAAACAAACGTGCACCCTGTGAAAATAATAATTTTTTTATTGTATTATTCGCGTTTCCGGCGGTCGTCCATACCAGCATAGCGAGAACGACTTGTTAATAACATTATACTACGAGTCGGACACACAAAGGCCGTGGCGGGGGGTGCGCGTTTCGCATAAAAGAAGCTGTTGTACGCACTTCGGAGTCGTTCCTATCGGAGGTCTGTTGCTTTCCAACGATCAAAGTCTTAGCAATAATAATTACATAACACTATCTTGTTCGCCGGAGCTAATTGAATCGACCGTGCAAAACAGGTTTGGACCAAAACGGTTCTTCTCAACACCCCACCGGTGTCGTCGTGTCGCTGACCAAAGGGGTGAGGTTATGCAAACGACCGACCTTTTGGGCGTTGAGAACTATAGATCCCGCGAGTCCCGGTGTGAGAACCGACCACGTGGGTACCCCACAGCTGACCAGAAATAATAAAAACGATGATTTACGACGTTCTAGGTGCCCATAACAAGATGCGTGTGTATTAATAGCGGCCTGTCGAACGGCGGACATAAAAGTATAATCTTATATATATTATTAAAAACGACGGACGGGAGAGTCGACCAGGAACAGCAGCTGCCGTTGCCCAGCATCTTTTATTGGTGTCGTGATACGATGCTCCGGTTTTAAAATTATAAAAAAAAAAAATCATAAAAGCGGCACCACCGTCTTTTTTAGATATTTCGACACTATACCTGCTATGTTATGTACAGAGGCAGCTGTGGACGCACTCATTGTATAGAGACCCCCCCCCCTAAAAAAAAATACCACCGCCTTAATGCTAAACACGATGCGTTCCCCGCACACACACACACACACAGGATAATACCTAAGTCGATATGGACTTCAACGAGTACAAGCGCGCTAATCAAAAGCGACCCAAGATATTAATATATCTCACCCCAGGGCCGAGCGCTCGATGTCGGTGAAAAACGACCCCTTAAACTTTCTGTGAAGGGTTATGAAGGATTATTGTCGTGTTAAATCTGTAGAAATATACTTACTTACTTACTTGCTTACTTTATAGTATATTATATACTATCTGCTCTTGGAAACTGTGTATTTACTGTAACTAAGACTCGGACGACGGACGGCGCCATTCGACGCATAACTCATTCTCTTTGGACGTACCGCCGCTGCTGCTGCTTTTGCTTCCAGAGGCCACTCGAGACAACGCCGGGTTAGCTACACACATACATATATATATAGCGTTTTTTGCCCCTTCTTGTATGTGTGTATCATGACTTTCAAGGGGACGGAGCCTTTTGCCATACAGCGGCCGCCAAACAGGAAACGATAAAATTTCCCCTACTTTATGAAAAAATAAAAGTCGTCAAGAACTCACGACCCGTGACGAAAGCAAAAAAAAAATTTAATAAGAATGGTCTTCTATTTTTTTTTTTTTAATTAGCCCGGAAAAAACGAAATTAAAAAACCACGTAATGTGATAACTAATATTATATTATAATATATTCTCTTATTATTGAGGAGTTTTATGAGTTAATTTTTTTTTACCAAACGATAAACCATTTATTATTCACTACGCTGTTGATTTTAATAATAATGCGGTTCGTGTTAAAAAAAACACACACACACACATAATGCTCAAGAACGTTTTAGAAAATCTTAATTTTTTTTTCATTCTAATCTCGATATCCATTTAATATATTGTATTATTGTGTTTTTATTATTATAATATTATGGCGTCGCAGAAGCGTATGAATAGTGGCAACTCATAGTACCACGGGTTAAGCGGCCGTGCCGTTATAGTTAAATACAAACAATAAATCGGCCATAGGTCTTATTATTATTATTATAGAGTGACAAAGTGTATATTGTTGCTATAGTCGCAATCAAGGGCATTGCGCTTGTTAATAATAATTATGCGGTACCGACGATTTCTAAAATAATGGAAATAACATAATTTTTTATTACAATAACAATAATCGTGTACCGCGCACCTAAAAAAAAAAAATCGACCATTCGACAGATTTTTCCGAGCGTAAACATTTTATCAATAATTTATTATGGAAAAATACAATCGCTGAGGTTTTTGGCAGTTGCAAACTCCGGTGTTCCAGACCTTCCAAACCCGTGCGACATTTCGGCTCAACCGGCGAAGAAAAGGATTGATGAGAGCTGCACGGTTAAACCTTTGCGCGAACCTCGCATATTGTCCATATGGCTTCTCTTATATGGGGAGGCGACCACGACGGTTGCCGTATGTCGTTTTCGCCTTGCTCTCGTGCCACTGCGGTATTATTGTCCGTTTATTTCGGGCCACTCCGAACACACGGTATCTGGCTCTGGCCAAACATCGACAACAACTATAACAGCTATGTATAAGGATAATAATAATAATTAACCGGTGTCGGCGGACCGAAGAGATCCACGGGAAAATACCCGTGCACGATTAACGGGATAATTGAGAGGAATAAAAATACAATTTCCACCGAACGCGGGTCAGGCTCTGAAAACCAGAGAACGATCTGCCGCGCAAAAACATCACCGTGGCCGACACACCGTAGTTCCGGTACGGTGCGGCCACATTTGTGTTTGTGTTCATCTGGATTTAAACGATTGACAACTAGTTCTACATGCACATTACACATACATACATACACACATACATACAATACGACGACCGTAGTACCGGAAATAACGAACCGCACGCGACTGTCGCCAAACAATGGAAACCGAATCGATATGAGTACAACTTTATTGCAGCCACGAGAAGGCAGACAGATGGGATAGCCTACAATTCGTTTACTTCACAGCTAGGATTGGCGTTAACCATTGACAGTGTATATAGCTTTGCCGGTGGTTTTCGCGAAAAAAAGTTTTCCAACAATTTCAACGTGTCCACTCGAGTTGGATCATCGACTGGCCAGCAGCTTTGCTTGCTACGGTTAACATAAAGATTTCTGCCAAAATACACACATGCCGTTCGCGTTATAGCCATGAACTATGGATATGGTTAGTGGTATTGTGCTAATTTCGACCGATTTAATTACAATAAAAGTAACTATGAGGATTTTTTTTTTTTAATGATATTATGCACGTCGTTTTTTCCTATTATTTATGACTTGTTTACTAGTTCCGTTAAAAGCAATTATTTGAGGTTGTTTCGCACATAAAATTAACTCTTCGTCCGTCGTTTGTAATTCACACAATCGGTTCGAATTTAGGTTAGGTTTAATTGAAATGCGATTATAAAAAAAAAATAAAGAAAAGAAAATGAATTTTTACTTCGTTTGAATTATTATGATAACCCGCGAACATGTGTAGCAGCGTGAAAATATCATAACCCAAAGGAAATGAGTTTTTATATAGAAAACACACTTGTTTTTTGACGTCTGAATTGTTTTATTTTTTT